GTGGGTCAGAGTTGACCAGATGGCAGGACGTTGAGTAATTTCTTTTAATAATATCGTATAGCCTACGTCAAGGTTTTATGCCTCTTTTATGAGATGAAGACTTAAATATGTGGTGGTTTTAAAATGTCTAATGATGGTATAGCTTTCTTAAGTACGTACTGCTGGTATTCGAAGTATTAGTACTTTTTATCTTGACAAGCATATGGTTTTTTAACCGTCAGATTTTACCAGGCTAAATCTAAAGCATCTATCATTTTAAGGTAGCCCGGAGCTTCGAGGGTGAAAGACAAGGCTTTCTAATCCCATGTAGAGTTGGAATGTCAGACACCCACAGGAGCAGTCGCCCCCGTCCTAGAGGGTCGCCATGAAGTGAGCTCGAGACCTTCAGAGCTCGGCAGCTACCTAAACGGTTGGCTGTTTGAACTCACCAGCCGCTCTGACTAGGAAAGATGGGGTCCCCTGATGTCCAGCCTTGGAAGCCCTTGGGGGCGCTTCTACTCTGTGCTAGACGGTTGCTGTGAATTGGAATAAACAGCAGTGGATTGGTTTGGGTTAAGATGCAAATCTTCCTGGGGATGGGGGTCTGTGGAATAGAGCCAGTTTGGTAGGAAGGCCGGAGTTGTAATGCTGGAAAATTCAAAGGGAACCTGTTGCTAAATTGGTTGCTGCAGAGATTGGCCTGGGGTTGGCTTTCTCCGGGAATGTTGGGACCTTTTGTTTCTCTCCCCAGAAGTCCTGGGCCCGCTCCCAGCCAGCCCCCACCCAAGACACTCAGGCAAACGGGGAGCAGGGCTTCCGAGGAAAGGGAGCCGGCACAGTCCTGCTGGTGGCCGCCTGTGGGCCCCCAGGTCTCCCAGAAGGAACTCCCGTCAGGCCCCGAGAGCTTGCTGCCTACAGCTCACCCCTGCTTTGTTTCTCCAGGTCTACAAAGGCGAATTCCAGCTCCCCGACTTCCTGAAAGAGAAACCCCAGGTATGGTCTCCACGTCCTTCTCTGGCACGACAGGTAGATGCTGGCCCTGAAGCCACTTGCTTCGACAGCGAAGGAGTGGTCTGGACAGTCTTGGTCGCAAGGTTGGCCTCTGGTCCCTGTTGGTTTGAGCAGCTCCTTGCCCCACAGCCTTAGCTGCTGAGAGCTGGCCTTCCACGTGATCCAACGGCTTCCTGACAGCAAACAGCCGAAGGCCGAGGTCCCCGACAGCCACGGCACCGCCCTGGTGATGTGCCCTGGCCTGCTGAGACTGGACTTCACACAGAAACGCAACGGGCCCTCCACCTTTCTCCCTGCAGAGCGTAGCAGGCTGTGGATACAGGGATGCCCATGGCCACTGGCCCTTGGCCGAAACACACACACCCCAGCTGGCGAGGAAACCAAGCCTGGAGCTCGAGACCTGTGTACACGAAACCCAGTCTGGAGTCAGTCCTGTCATGGTGGCACTCGCGTGCTAACAGCGAAGGGGAGAGAAACGGGGAGCGAGTGACGGTCTCTGCCATCCCTGGAGCTCTCGGGACAATTTGGACCCGAGACCTGAGGGCAACAGCGCGTGTCCCTCTGGCACAGTGGTTGTGCTGCTGCCTGGAGGTGGCTGCCCCTCCCCCAGAGCCGGCTGGGTCCTGGGTCGTGAAGGCTTAGCACTGGCTCGGGTTCTAAGATCGTTCCAGAGCTGCCTTACTGGTCTGCTGGAGACTGGTGGAACCCTGAGACTATGGTCCATGGTCGTCCTTCA